AATGTGACTGTAGCTTTTTTTTATCCAAAACTTTGTCTTCAAAATAAGGGTGCGTCTTATATTCCGAAAAATACAGTACATAAATAAAACTTGTTTTTCATGGATTAATACAGTGATAAGAAGGCAGAGAAATAAATTAACTCAATTTACTACAGATGGTCCTATGGTGTACTGGTGTGGGAGATTATGACCCTTGGAGGAACTCCATATCCATCAGTTCCAGTTGAGAAACTTTTCCAGCTGCTACGAGAAGGACACAGGATGGATAAGCCCAGAAACTGCTCTCTTGAAGTGTAAGAGTCCAAACACTGCAATTGAAATTTGTCCAGAATAACCACTTTCAAAATAGTATTATGCTAAATTAGAAACTAAATATCCTTATAAAAGATGAGTAAAATGTAGATTAATATGCAAGTGGAATTTGAGAATACAGTGACATCTAAGAAATTTGGAGATATTTATAATTTTTTATTACTTTATTTATTAATGAAGTGTATAATAAGTTGAATCAGTCCACATATATGCAAATCAGAAAGTGTATTGTGTAATTATCATGCATGTAATAAAGTGTTTGTACACCCACATAAAGATGTTATATTTAATAATCATCCATGAAAGATTTATTATTACTACCCATTTGTAAATTTAAGTGGTTACTCAGCATCGTTTGTGTTTTGTAAGATATATAAAACAAAAGAATATTTTCATCAGTTCATTACTGATGTGTAAATTTACAAATATATAAATAAGTCTTAATTCCTATTACATTTAAAACTAGAAATATAAATTAATATGACAAGTGTGTGTGTATTAAATTTCCTTTGTTATTCATATGGATATACAGGGGTTTATTGGTCATAATTTTTTTTAGATGTTCAAACACATTATTCTGTGTTTATATACTTGAAAACGTTTATTTTTTAGTTATATGATTATGCGTGAGTGTTGGCACAACTATCCTCATCAAAGACCAATTTTTTCTGAGTTGGTAGAAGATCTGGACCGTATCTTGACTATTTCATCTGAGCAGGTGAACTTTTTGCTCATTTAGTATGAACTTACAAACAATATTTAGTTCTTAAATTTAAGTTTTAGCTGCTTGACCAAAAAATAAAATGGCATCTGTATTTTATTTACTTTCTGATTTTTCTGTGTCTTGACTACAAAAACTGTGACTTAGCAATCCACAAGATTTATAACAATAAGAAAAAAGAATTATTATCAATTACTCATAGGTCAAGAATATCCAAAAATTATTATTGTATGCATTGCATATCATCATTGATGAACATATTGCTTAAGGTTCAGTGACAATGAAAACCTTTTCATCATAAAATTACTGTTACATTAAGAGATAACATGTACTTTAGTATGTTATGACTACTTGTTAGCCTGTAGTAGGAAATTTGTATGCCAGGTTTATAAATATGAGGCAGAAATATTTTATTTAAACCTAAAACAAAGTTGGTGTTATTCTAAACTATTTCCACAGGAGTATCTGGATCTAGATTTGCCATTCCCTCTAGTAAAGACACCCCCTTCAAGTTGTTCATCATCTGACACTGACATCTTTGATTCTCAAGAGGAGGCTGGTGACAGGTTTGAAATTTAAATCTCAACCTACAATCTGCCACTACTAGTCAACATTATAGTTATTACAGAAGACTGTGGTAACACTGAAAAATCATTTTGTTTACATTGGACAGAGAGTCATTTAACTAAATGGAAAGAATTTAATGAAAGTAAAGGCCTTACAACATAGTTACTTAGTGCCTCACTCAATACCTGTGGATTGAAATTAAGATAAACTGGCTTTATGGAAATTATTTGACAAAACCTGAAACTTCAGGTATTCTGTGAAATGTACACATACCAAAGATTTTGTTAGTTACCAAAAAAATTTAACACTTTTTAAGGGTTTTTGTTTCTTTACTGTACATACATAACTTGTTATTTTCATATTTGTTTTGTGAGAATTAAGACTATTGTGTAATTGGTAAATTATTGGCCAAGAGCTGCCTTGTATTTATACTCTGTATATCGTGATTATTTTATCAACATTGTTTTTATTATTTTTACCAGCCTAACTATGCTACTGCTTAAACAGAATCATATTTTCATTAGTATTCCATGTGCAGAAAAAAATATGAAAATCAAAAACCACAAGACACTTAAAAGTAAAAAGTGTCCAGAAAAAAAAAACTTTAATTCTAAATTGGATTTGAATAGAAAACTTCTGAACAAAAAATAAGTTAATTTGAAAAGGTTCATTTCTAACAATGTTTCTATTACTGATTATATGTAAAAAAATTGCTTATAAAATGACAAATTTTTATTAAAAGCCAAAGAAGTGCCAAGAATATTGTGAAAGACAGAGAGTTCTTCTCACTTTATGACCTTATAATGAAATTTAACATTTCATATATTAATTTGAGTTTCTACATTAAATAGGATTTTAGATTAAAGTGGCTTATTGACTTTCATACAAGATGACTTAAGTTCTGAACATTCAAGGACACAGCAAGTTTCTTTAAAATGTTATATAGTGTTATTTCACAGTATTAATGCATTATGAACTGTATTTAGATGGCAGTAATTGCATAAGTCTTGATGTGTTATCTCTAGTATGCCAAAGAAGTGTCTTCCTGTTCATGTTTTATTGATAAGATGTGTGATATAGATCACTTGAAATATTTTTTTTCCAGAATGTGTTGTTAGTTTTTGTGACTAGTAAAAAGTCATACTTTCAGTTTATCTTACTCTTTTAGAATCTTCTTGTAAATTTGCATGGTTATGTAGGAAAGGTTGTTAAGAGTTGTGTTATTTATGATTAAACTTTTTTTTAGTAAATGTTTATTTGTATTATATCAGAAATACATGATATGTGTATTATTCACTGCTATTGTTAGAAAATTATGTAGTGCAAATACTTATATCAATTATTAAAAGTTAATCATCATTTCAACAAAAAGTAATTTCAAAACAGTATACAGACCTGTCATATTTAAAGTTGTCATGCTTTCTACATTCGTATTAAAAATGTAATTAAAATATACAAACACAATAAAAAATAATAATTAGGATTGAAACCTGAACAGAGCATAAAAAGCAAGTTCATGATGATGTGGGCAGGGGCGGACTGACATCTTTTGGACTTGATCACTTTCAAAAATGCCCCCACTCCCTAAAAAAATGCAACAGACAAATAAAAACATTTTTTATTATTAAAGTAAGTAAAAAGAACCGCTAGATGTCAAAACAAACAAAATAATTATACAAGCACTAAAGAGCTTAGCTCCTTTGTTGTAGATGCTTATTTATCCTTTATACAATCTTTGTTTTTCCATAAATTGATGGCAATGTCTTTTTCAACTGCAATGAGCTTCAGTACCTTCTAGTTTTGTTGTGTTGTTGATGCTCTTAAGTGAGTTTTTAGAATCTTCAAGAAGGTCAAGCCCAGGTGATTTCAAATATTCAGAAACAGGAGATGTAATGTCAAACATTCTAATACAGATGAAAGCCATCAAACTATTTCAAATTTGGTCATGTTTTCATATAGATTCTTACCATTATATCGCACTGACTTACAAAAATCACTGGATTCACTGACTTGTTTCAAGACTATGAGAAGATTAGAAAGCATTTCATTCGAATAATTTCCATAACTGCCTAAAGTTTTTCTAAGTGCTCCTACTCTACTGGACCACCTTGTTTGACTAAGAGTGTCAAGCCTTTGAAGCTTACCATGTATCAACTTAGAAGATTTCATTTGATCCTCCAATATATGCATCCTTTTGTACGATTCTTTAAAAAACTTGGACAATTCATTGAGTATTCCAAAGAGACTAACTACTGCAATACAGGCACTTTTTGCATCACCAATTACCAAGTTCAGAACGTGGGCATCACACCACATGTGGACACGACTTGGGCATACTTCCTTCATTATTGTTTGTAAGCCATTGTATGCACTGCTCATATTAGCAGCCCCATCAAATGAGTCTCCAATGCAGTGTTTAAGATCAAGTTCTACATCAGTTAAGGATTCCTTTGGTAGTGAATACAAGCTTTTCCCACCAAGGTGTGTTACATCAAGAAGGTGCAGAAGTCTTTCCTTGGCCTGGTCATTTACAACATATCTGAGAACAAAAGCACACTGCAGAGATATCTTGTATACAATCCATTTGTAATGAATAAATTCCAGCCTTCTTAGCTTCCATAGTCAAAATATCTTTGATCATATTTCGAATCAAATTGAAAAGTTTCATGATAGTTGTTTTGCTCAGGGATGTAACTACTTTTCCTCTACCCCTCTTTGATGGTTCCCGCTTCTTTACCTTCTGTGTGATATCTTTCAGGTGATCTTTCATAGCTGGATTATATTCTCACACCAATTTAACTGCTTCCAAGAAATTTCCACGATTTTTTAAAATGGTCTTCATCAAACACATGTGTTGCTGCTTCTGAATATTTGCTTCGATAAAGCAAATTTTTAAATCCAATGAAGAAAATAATGTCAATAATACAACTCAAGACTGCTCATCTTTGAAGCACTTGGCTCTGTCGTACTAACAGCTGATCATGCCACAATCTGTGCTCAACCATTCTTTCTTGGAGGTGCATGAAATAAGCTTATGTTAAGTCCTGATGACATAGCAATTTTTCGTGCTCAGATAATCTTGTAGTGATGTGTCTCCAGTCTGAGCATCCTATTATCAGTTGATTACCACGATTTTTTTCAGATGCAAACATCAAATAAAATGAGCAATGCAAACTCTTTTTTTTCTCGCTGTTATAGGTCACCCAGGAGTGCTTGACATCATTACCATAAATATCTATGCGACTTTAAACCACTCTGTAATATTGTAATGTATATCTCTAGTTGGTTGATGTGGATGAAAATTTCAGAAATTTTTTTTTGTAATATATTTAGGCTTTTCAAAAAAATCACTTAGCTCTGGGACATTTGAGCAGGAAATTTTTACAGGTGATTCTTGTGTGATATGTGTTTATATAATAGTATTTTCAGTTTCATTTTCAATCAATGTACTACTACTACCAATACTTTCTTCTGGAACATTTAAGGATTGAATCTTAAGAATTTTTTCAGGGGAAGGTTGAGTGGCCTTTGGTAGATCTGAAGGGTATGGTGACAGTAAAACAGTAATATCAGTTTCTTCTTCAATCTGTGTATCAGATGTACTGGAAGTACATGCACCTGCATCTAATTCAGTATATTTTTCTTTTGATGATTTTAAAAAAGTGCTAATTTTAGTCAGAGTTTCAACTTTTTTTTATCTCTTCTTGTCTTTGTTTGTGTTTCAGAACACCACTTTTGTGTTTATATTTTCTTCCAGCTTCATCCATTTGTGTTATTTTTCAAAAACAAAGCAATTTCCTAAAACAGAAGATATTTTCATATCACACTAATATTAAATCAGAAAAAAGTAATTACTCATGATTAAAAAGGTTAGTAAAAACGTCATGAACACTTGAAAATAATAAAATAAAATTACAAATGTCAAATGCACAATGACAGTCACAATTAGAAACTCATACCTTTAGAACAGAGAACAATAATCAAATATATCTTAATTAAATAAAAAAATCATTATATAAGCTAAATAACAGAAAATTTGGTAATCTTAAAGAATAGTGTTGGGTTGATTTTAATTATATAAATGTAAGAACAAATTTAAACTAGTATTTTTGGAAAAACAATGACTGTAAACACATTATATAGTGTACTACAGTGTTTAAAGTGTTAACTGCCATGCCAACCACACAATGTTTTAAAAGTAAAAGTCAATTTCCATTTTGAAACTTTATATTTGATATAATAAAAAATATATATATTTTTTAATTTGTTAAAAAAATTATCTTTTTAGACTGGTTTACAGGCCCCTACCCTCACTGGCCCTCAGTCCACATCCTATCTGCCCATAGGGTCAGGCTGCCCCTGGTTGTGGGTGAACTAATATTAATTAACATACAATAGGGAGTTTTTTATTTTGTAAAAATCTTTCATAAGTTTGGGTAGGTACTACAGTCTAAGAACATTATGACACTCAAAAGAAAAATTAAGAATAAAAGAAAATATAAAATAAGATAAAAAAACGAAAAGATAATCTACTGAAACGATACTTTCATCAGAATGCTATTATAGTTTACTTCTGAACCTAAAGCAACAGCTAACTAGTGTAATTGAAATTAAAAATCCTGAGTATGAAAACCAGACTTATTTAATAGTAGATATCTGTATTCGTAAATGTTGATTGCAGTTGGTTACTAAAGCCTAGATTAAAAGCTTTCTAAGTGGAATTGAACCAAGTTAATCGTTATTATACTATGATAATAGTATAAGCCAGTTAGAGGATATAAAATGCATATAATAAACAGTGTAATAAAGAAACAAAAAAGGATCAGGTTATGAGAAGAGTTATCTAATGTTATCATTTGATTGTATATCTGGATATAAGGAATGATAGTCAAAACTGATTTTACAATATTTGAAATAAGTATATATGTGTGTGTACTTGTTTCAAATACTGTGATATATTTATATATATACTTATTAATCCATTATTAAAGATTTAAAAAACACACCCGAGTGTATTAAAATTCTAATGATATATATTCTGTAAAATACATGAATATGTTTTCAGGTTCATCTCTAAAATTAAATACCAGCTGAAAATCAATATAAATAAGTACAAATACTGTGACAACCAGAAAGTTGTCTCAAATATTACCACCAATGTTCTCAACAAAATGTTTTAGCTTTTCAATTTTTGAACAATTTATAGTGACACATGAAGGTGAAGTTGAGAAATAAAAAAGTTTGTGTTTATATATTTGTAAAACTAAGCAGATTTTGTAGTATTAAAAATATGTTGGGTTTCTTAAATGAAATCATGGATGTTTATATGGCTATAATAACATATATTGAAAAAACTTTAGTCTGCTAGCTCTTGATTTGAGATGTAAAATATTTAGGATCTATTTAAGGTGTAATATTTCATTTATTTCTTTATGATACAATTCTGCTGAGGCAATCATGGTATTTATTACGTTTTTCTTAATGTTCTACTTGTATTTTAGTGGTATGATTTAGATAATTAATAGTGTATATATAGTTTTCCATTGTGTGTGGAAATTATAGTCACGCACAGTGAAGGTTTGATGATATAAGTGTATTTAAAAAAAACCTGATGGAAGTATTAACATATTTTTTGTGAACTTAAAACTATTTTAATTTTTCAGACAGTTTTAATAAACAGGTTCAAGGTGTTCGATGGATTAAGATGTGGACTGAATAGTTTAGAAATTGTGTGTAAGTTTTTAAGTAAACTTAATGTAGAATTTCCAATAAATCTCTACTAGAAAGTATATTTTTGTCCATTCAGTGTACAATGACTGAAAACACAGTTTATAAAGCTTAAAATTTTAGATTGAATATGTATTTATTTTGACCCAATAAAATGACCGAGAAGTGGATATATATTCATACATTTTGTACATGGTTTATTCAAAACTGTTTTTAGTAGAGTTACATATCTAGCTAGTAAAACTGAATGGGTTTGAATAAGTTTACCAGACATTACATTTCTTAATTAATGTCAAGATTAGAAAAGACAACACATTTTGTTTTCAGAAGATGAGAGTGACTGTTGATGGAGTCAAAAAATAATAGGGCCTATTTTATTGTTTTTGTTTAAAATTAGTTTGTTAAGTGACTATCCAAATTCTCTTACTTACATGAATTATAATCATCATTACTTTTACGTTGTATTATTGTCTCAATTGCTCACAGTTTTTAGTTAATATACCTGTCATTCAAAAATGTTCTTTAAATTTTTTGTTCTTGAAGTAAAAACAAACTTAATAGAGATTTAAAACAGCTAGATTTCATTACAAAAACCATAAACATCACTTGTTGTGATTTTATCATAAGAACAAAAAGAGAACTCAAAAAATATTTGAATGCATAATAGATCAGAGTTTAATTAAGAGAAGAACTAAGTGTCAGGTGATTTGGTATGTTTTATGTTTATATATGTATTTTTTGATTAGGTATACACTTACAGAATGTATAAACATTGAACCTAGCTTTCAAAGTGAATTTTCTTATCTGTTGTTCAGGAGTCACAAAATGTTAACCACATAAAATGGTTTGTTATTAAAGTTCTCTTTTCTCTTTAAGAGCTAAAAAAGTCCACAATGATGAACCTTGTTATACCATCACCAAGTAATTGGTTTTATATAAATCCAGCCACCAAGAAAAAAGTCCCGTTTAAAATTAAATAATGACAAATACTTGGAAATCAAATATTTAGCATTTGAGCCTAATTAAAGAAACAAAAAAACACTAATATCTACAGAAATATGGATATGTAATTTAGTTGTGCAGTATTCGTTATTTTTGGAAATGAAAATGGAAACAGTTTGTAAAAATAAATTCTCATAACTCAATTTGTACTGGATTGGCCAAGTCTCAGTTGGATAACCTGCCTTCTAAGATTCTATCGTTGAAGAATACTTAGGTAAGATCGATACAAACCTGTTTGAGGTTTTGTTCATTAAACTCTGAACTTATTTACTGTTAAGAGAGCAATACACTTGGGTCATTCTGCTTTGGATAATGATGTTCTCCCTCTGTACCTTGGATTTTGACATACCACCAACTAAGTGTTAATATTTAACCATATTCATCTTCTCACATCAGATTTTTTGGCAGTAGGAAACGATGTTGTCATCCTAGTTTTAAATGGTACATACGTATATTTATGGAAAACTGCCAGATATGCATTTCAGACAAATGCATTTACAAACAGCTGCCACTTGTCAAACAGTTGATGACTGTATCCAATCTTGTGTACATTGTGTAGGTCCTTGCTCCATATCTTGTTGAAGGATGAAATAATGAGACAACACTTACTTATTACATATTCTTAAATGACGTTTAAAGTATTTTGTATTTAAATACAATCACACAATTTAGGAATACAATGGATCTCCTTAAACTGGACATTAAACTCAAATTCTATTCTTTACTCAAGGATAGTGTAACCAGCACCCTACAGAGGAATCCAACGATCCAAGGCTTCTTACAAAAATGCTTCAGGTGGTAGAAGAGATTAAATGGTTATACAATAAAGTCTAAGCTACTGTAAATGGAATTTACCATCCCGCAGATTGCTTTTATATAGGATAATGTGAGAATAGTTAGCGTGCATGTTGCATGGCATGCCTCCAAAGGGCGACACCTCAAGCAATAAAATATGGGGGTAGAGATGGTGACGTCATAGTTCCACAAAGTAAAACCAGAGAGCACGTTGTCATGATGACATGCCACCTGACAGGCGGAACTTGTCTGCTACCAGAAAGTGCATTTCTAAGAGATGTCTCGTGACATCATAGTTCAAGTGTTACTCAACAGAGAGTGTGTTGCTAGTGCCAAGATGCGGCATCAGAGGGCATGTTGGGATAATGAGTGCACAGACAGTTCGCGAGCAAACCACCAAAGGGTGATGTAGATCAATGTGTCATCAACTTTATAGTAGCAAAGTCTTAAAATTA